AATCATCGTTTTGCTATTTTTGCTATTTTTATTAACTGAATCGTTGTTATAATCAATCACCTTTATCAGCTTTCTCAGGACTACCTTATTGTTCATTGGATTTTTTGTTTTTATTACTTTCACGCCTTTCTTTGTTGTGTAAGGCAGACGTAGCAGTTTGTCTACTCTGCTGTTTCGTAACTGGCCCTGTGGATGTTCTTTTTCTTTTCTTTGTTCGTAATGAAGTGAATAGTATCTACATTGTGATGCTTCTCTAACTGACTTGCGGCTGTTGACTCGACATACAGATAATAAACAACCGAATAAGTATCACTTTATTATCATCATCAACGCTCTTTCAGACAGTACGCATACCGGCAAAAATTTCAGAAGAAACACATTTGCCGGTGCACTGTTGTTTCGACTTTTTTCTTCCTTTGGCGCTACAGCCCCAATTTGGGCCTTGGCCTACCTCCAGGAAACTCTCCGTTTCTCTTCGGTTTACTAGATCTTAAACATTCGGTAGGACTCCTTGGGCGGGTGATCAGTTCGTCGCGAGGCCTATACCTATACACAAACAGAGAAAAATGCGCGCACGCACGTACGCACAAACACCAAACATCCATGCCTTGTATGGCATTCGAACCCACGATCCCGGCTTCCGAGCGAGCAAAGACAGTGCATGCCTTAGACCGCTCGGCTACCGTGACCGGCAATGTTTCGATTTAAGAGGCTAAAACTGAGCATGAGAGTACCGGATTACGCCTTGAGAAATATATTTCATCATCATCATCTTTTTTTTTTCTCCCTTCACAGTGGGCCTAGGCCTACCTCCATGAACTTCTCCGTTCACTTCGGTTTTTCTAGATCTTACACATTCGGTAGGACTCCTTGGGCGGGTGATCAGCTCGTCGCAAGGCCTCTACTTGTAGACAAACACAGAAAAACGCACACACACAAACTAAACATCTACTTCCTGAGTGGGATTCGAACCCACGATCCCGGCTTCCGAGCGAGCGAAGACAGTACATGCCTTAGACCGCTCGGCTACCGTGACCGACCATAATCATCATTACTGGATGTTAATTGGACCACAAGGAAATAGCAGTCCCTCTGCTTTTCGAACGGACTGTACTAACTACGAAGTGGCTATTTTATTAATCGATTTTGTCGCGGTTCCGCTTCTTCGGACTCACAGACTGAGTTTGTGGTGACCCACGGGGTTATATTTCATCTCCGCTTTGATAAGTATAAAAATCCAACAAGATTAAATTCAAGGGAGAGATCCCTGGCAATGACAGTTCTCACTATAAACCCACCAGTAACTCATCTAGACCACATTCTGCTATCAAGGGTGGGACATGGGATTGAATTATTGGATTCTGCGCCTTATTTTTCTTTTTTGCACATTCCCCCTCATAAATTATTCTACAGCCTCTCTCTCTCTCTCTCTCTATATATATATATATATATCTGTAGTATCACAGTGTTGTTCTCCCACATTCCCTGAAGGAAAATGGTCCTCACCACTGCACTCCCTAAGCCCTATTTTAAAAGTGACACAGACAAGACAAGACTGTTGAGTGGTACTCTTCCGCTGTCTGTGATAACAGTAAGCTTTACGAACAGACATGGAGGAGATTGTCCCTGACATACAGGCCTAACGTGTTCTACATCATCCGTTTTACTGTTAAGCGATGTATCCTGAGGAGCTCCGTTTATAGCAAAATTTCTCGTAAGCATTCATTAATTATGCTTTCTTCGGAGCTATACGCGGTCTCAGTGCGCACACAGTCATTAAATGGCAGGCTTATAAATACGGCCGGGATAGCGTTGTTGGTATAGCGACTGGGTACAGGCTGGAGTTCGAGTCCCGGTAGGGTCAAGAATCTTCTGTTCTCCACGTCGTCCAGATCGGCTCTGGGGGTCACCCAGCCTCCTATCCAATGAGTACCAGGGGCTCTTTCCCCTTGGGTAAAGCGGCAGGGGCGTGAAGCTGACCACTCACCTCCAGCTTGTGCCGAGATCAAGAAAATGTGAATCTAAACACCCACTCCCTTACACGCCTTCATGGCATACTACTTAATGAGCAGGGCCCGGATTTTGATGACGTCATCTTTTTTTCCTTTTATCCTATGCGATGCTCTTAAATATATAAATCTCGGACTTGAGCTGCTGGTTACAGAAATGTAAATTTTATAGGTAATTTGTTGTCATTTTTTGACATTTTTAGGTCTAAGGTCATTTTTTCATTTGGGGGTAATTTTTTTGTAAATTTTTGGACTTTTAAGGTTATTTCTTGTCATTTTTGGCCATTTCAGGGAATTTTTCTTCATATGTTTTCTGAAATGTGAATAACAAGGAAGAGAGAAGTGTTCTTTCTTTTTTCCTTTATGTCATTTTTCTGGTTTTTTTCGGTCATTTTTTTTTTTAATATTTTCAGGTCATCAAAATCCTTTACCTTACCTTACAGCACTGTCAGAGATACATGACAGTCACTTTCAGTTCAGGGAAGGCAATGGTTTGTTTTCTACATGCATGTCCCTGTCTTTCAAAAACTAAGACCACCTCCATGGAGCAGAGTTCTTCTTCAGAAGACACGATTGTTCAGCTAGTCAAGAAATTACTATTTTACTGAACTCGACGGTTCATGACCGTTTTCACAAGAGCCCGCCACCGGTTCTTATCCTTAGCCACATGAATCTCATCCGCATTACTTTAAAATCCATCTTAATGTTATCTTCGTCATCGATACCCAGACATCCACAGTGGTTTCTTTCATTCGGGTTTCTCGACTAAAATTCTGCATACATTTCGCATATCTACCACGCCTGCCACATGTCGCACCCATATCATCTCTTTCGATTTGATCACCGTAACAACATTTAGTGACGAGTACCAAATTTGGAGCTCCCTTCTCAAGCCTCCTGTTACCTACTCTCCCGTGAGTCCAAATATTCTTCTCAGCACTGTTTTCACACATCCTCAGTCTATGTTAATTCGCTTATAATTTCAACTGATTCACCCTCACACAAACTGTTTGAACGTTTATCCCAAATTAGGAGATTCACATTGGAATGCTGGACCATTCGGCGGGTCTGTCATCTGGCTACCGGCAAGCTAGGTCAGTTGTTTGTCTACCTCTTCATTCCTGACCTCTGTTGGACTTAAACGTGAACTTAGGGCTATAGCTGTAATTCTACGAGGAGTGCCTTAGATAAATGAACTTTCGAGTTTTCTGCAAAGAGCTGCAATTCCATTTTCAGCCACCCGTAGAGGGCGGAAATGACTGGGAATGGGAAATCACGCGCACTGTATCGGTGCTTAGGGAATGCACGTGCCCTACTTACAGAGCCGATCTCCAGTGACGTCCAAGCTATCACAAGCCTCACAGTATGCCAGTATTATATTGGACATATCCATCACCTTGCGTAACTTACGTCTTTCTGGAAGTTTTCTACAGCCTCTTCAGGCGATCAACTGTCATTACATCAAAATGTGTACTCGGCTGAAGCCTGGCTCGCTTTAACACTAGAATGCTATCGGTCGAGCACAGTGGCCGCACGGTCTAAGGCACGCCCGTTCAAACACTGGGATCGTGGGTTCGAATCCCACACGAGGCATGGATGCCTGTTTATTCTATATGTGCTGTCCTGCATGCAGGTAGCGGCCTTGCGATGGGCTGATCCCCCATCCAAGGAGTCCTATCGACTGTGATCAAGAAACTGAAAAAGCGGCCAAGGTCCAACAAAGAGCTGTAGAGCCATGGATAGGTGGATGGGTGTAAGGGCGGATAGAATGCCACCCAGTGCTCATCGTGGGTAAATGCATGGAGTTATAAGAATCACTCTTGGGCCGCCCCCGTGGTTGGGCCGGGTTGAACCCCAACCGTCGCCAGTAATGTTTCAAAAATAAATCTTATCAGTATATCCTCACGACAACAAATTCATTGAAGATGGCAGTAGCGTCGACTTAAGAAACGCTGCGCAGCACCATGTCAAATTGTGATCAAGTAATAAGCAATGCTGAGCGTAATACTGGTATAATGAATCAGTAATGGTCACAAACCTTTAGAAAGTCACAAGCGTTACAGCTAAGCTACTCTCGTCAATACGCTTATGGCAAGGATAATATATACTGTATTTCTGCATTACCATCTTGTGCGGATGTGAAACCAGTCGCTGTTTATTGTTGAGAATCATGCGGAACACACAAACATATGGGATAAAAAGGATTGGTTGTGGATTCGGGCCGGGAAATTCATGTGAAAGTCAAGTAATCACGGTTTGCCAGGACATTGCAGACATTTTAAATGGATAATACTCGTTCCTGACTGCCTCTGTGGTCTAGTGGTCAGAGTTCCTGGCTACAGATCCAGGGGTCCGCGGTTCGACTCCGGCGCTACCAGATTTTCTGAGAAGTAGTTGGTCTGGAACGGGGTCCACTCAGCCTCGTGAGGATAACTGAGGAGCTATTGCAAGCAAATAGCGGCTCCGGTCTACAAAACCGAAATTAACGGCCGTGGGGATTCGTTGCGCTGACCACGCGACATCCTCTATCCGCCAAAGTTGGCAGTA